TGTCCAACAGGAAAGGACAAATCAACATAGCAGAGTTTAGCTTTAATGTTTCAAATACTCTGGAGATGACCTAGATGATGTAAACTGATCACTGTGAACATATTCATACTTTGGCACCACTACTGTGTTGGCCACTGTTGAGCTGCTGGATTTTATTCTATGCAGTTGGGGAGGGAGGGTGGAAGGGCAGTGTTTTCTTCCTACTTTGCCCTATTAAGCTTATTTTCTTTCTCCAAGCTATTTGACTGTCCTGTTGCCTTTTTGGGAACAGCATTTCCAAATCCGCACGTCAGCCTTTTCTGATACTTTTGGATATAGTCCGTCTTTGTTCCGACTGTTTTTTGGATCTGAAACTCCCTCCTCAAGCGAGATTTTCAAAAGAGATAATCATTCAAGACGTTTTCAAAAGGGACACTTCAGCTTCAGGAGAATATGCCTGGCATATAGACAGCTTCCAGCATCATCGCTAAAAGCCAATCCACATCAGAAGATCCACATTCTCTAAGGGACCATTTTTTCAAACGCTCGCTTCCAGATCAAAGCTTCTGCCTAGCAGCAAATTTTTAATTTTTTTTTATTGATTGTCTCCTGATATAGCAACATTTCTGTGCCAAACGAAGAATATCTCTATCAAGCAGTTTCTCCGAAGTAGTCTGACCGACTCAAGTAAACTTGTATCTAATTTAATGAGTGTCTGGTCTGAGTTCTGGATTGGAAACGCAAAAATAACTGGAGAGCAGCATTGCAGCTGGAGTACGTTGATAGCAATGTCAGACTAAGTGACCCATAGTCTGTATTAAATACAGTCTTTTCATTTGCATTCTTGCTACAAGCTGCTTTCGGGTTTGCTTACTTTAGATATCTGTTTGAAAACATTGGTGGATTTTAATGATTTTTGCACAGATTGATCATTTTCTAATCAGTTCTGATATGGTGGGCAATTTGCCTTGAGCCAGACTCTGTTTGGCTGATTGTTTTTTGACCTGAAATGTAATTCATCAAGGTTTCAATCTACACCGGACCACTTGGATTTGTCTTGTATTAAAACCCTAACAAAATAAATAAAGATTGTAACTGGCTGCGAGAAGGCTGCACAACAGGCTGGGAAATCTCGTGGCAGAATTTATTTTGGTAGTATTGCCAATTTTACTGAAAATATTACATTTAGTTTCGGTCCCAGAAGGAACACCCACTTCTTCTCACTGCTAAGTAAAAGCTGCATCTATTTCTTATTTCTGCCAAACATTGTGTTGCAATGTTTATTAACCTCTGAAAGCTCGTCTCTTTAAATAGACATTGCTTGATCCCTTGTATAACTGGTTTTTGTGATTGAACCCTCTCTCCCACACCCCTGGATGGGATACAAAATAAAGCAATTCACCCAAAATGAATATTTGACCTCAATAAAACCAAAAGAACTGCGGATGCTGTAAATCAGGAACGAAAACAAAGTTGCTGGAAAAGCTCAGCGGGTCTGGCAGCATCTGTGAAGGAAAAAAAACAGAGTTAATGTTTCGGGTCCAGTGACCCTTCCAGTTCTAGGAAGGGCCACCGGACCCAAAACGTTAACTCTGATTTTTCCTTCACAGATGCTGCCAGACCTGCTGAGCTTTTCCAGCAACTTCTATTTTTGAGTTTGACCTCTATGGGTTGTGTCCATCATAACTTTTTGTATCTCTCTTATTTGATCGGGGCAATTCTTTGATGGGTTACAATCAGTCTTGGTTGAGTAATAAAGCTCTCATTCTCTGAATCTTTTTTTCTTTATTCATGAACGGGATGAGGGTGTCACTGACCAGGCAGCATTTATTGCCCATCCCTAATTGCCCAGAAGGCAGTTCAGAGTCAACCACAGTGCTATGGGTCTGGAGTCACATGTAGGCCTAGCCAGGTAAGGATGGCAGCTTCCTTCCCTAAAGGACATTAGTGAACCAAATTATTGAATCAAATAGGAGTTAATTCAACCTCCACTTGGAAAGACAGAAACCCAAGCTGCTACTTCACTGCAGGTACTGAGGGAACATTGCACTATGGATGGATTATATTAAACCTAGGCACCACCTGATGTTGAAAGCATTTTGTAATCATTGCAGACTTTTGATCTACTTGTCCCTCTTCAGTGCATAACTTCCACTCTGAACTAATGTTCCAATGTGACAGTGCTGCCCATTGGTGTATTCTTTGGAGTATCACTGTCCTGCCATGCTAATGTCTGGAATTTGAGGAACATCACATGGATGAGGAAATATTTCTGATGTTCACTATTTAAATTTAAATCTATTTGCAATTTTCTAAAACATGTGAACAGTGTAATGACCCCTCAATTTTTTTCTGCACTGCAATTCTTGAAGAGCCAAAGCAAATGGCAGGCCATGCAGGGAAAACTGATAATGGGTAGACAGCTGTCGGAGTTGGCAGAGTGGACAACACAGTGACAAGATTTCACACTAACCTGATCATGGCAGCCAATTAACTGAAGACTGTGACACCCAATCTATGTAATTTCCTTCATCTATCCTAAACTTCAGCCCTCACTGTTGGGGTTGAGCTGTACTTCAACGGCTAATCACCTGAGAAATGGGATCATGTTACTCTTAAAACCTGAACTTACCCACCCAGAGAAAACCGATGACAGGATTTGTCACCACAATATAATCATGACGGTGGTTCTTTAAATAGATAAATGCAGTCACTAGCTGGGTATTTGACTTTAACCGAGGTCATGCGCCATTACTGTATTTGTATTTTCTTCACAGCATTTTTGAATGATCTAATTGTGTCTCCACTGCTGAAGGCATCCACACCAGCACGCAGCCAACAGCCTGCAGGTAAAAGCAATCCAAATGTGGTTTCATCATGCATTAGGCTTGAAGAGCATTGACAAGTGATTAGACCACACCGAGCATCATTGACAAGACTACCCTGTAAGGAATGTTTTAGCCTACAACCAGGTGAGAAGAGGAGAAATTACTCCCTTCCTTTCAGTCTGCACGGTCAGCCACACAGAAGTTAAAATGCCTATAACACAAAGCTATATCTTTATTTAAAATGCAGTGGATTATTTTTACTGCAAGTTGTTTGGAACCAAACCACAATGTTTTTTTGAATAAAACAAAGATTTTTTTTTACCTGCTAGCCTCAAAGGAAAATAATAAAGTCACAACATCAAATGTACAACCTTCATGCAGTTTGTTGGGCCCACATGCCAAGACTAAAGGAGGTAGTGTTCAGGATCACAGAAGATAAAAGAACATATAGCTTAGAATCCTTTGGGTGTCCTTAAAGCCTAAGGTTTTAACCTGAGACCAGAGTTGGTTGGTTTCTTGGCAATCATCACCAGTAGCTGTTATCTTTTAAGTTCTCAGGTATTTAATGCTTCTGTCCTATTGAGTGTTCTCAAACTGTGCTCTTTCTTTTAGGATGAGAGAGACAGACTTCACAATCTCTTTTTCAGTGTTTTGCAATGTTAATTCCATCTGTCCAAGTCTGCCATATAAAGAGCTCTTGGAGATAACATGCCTGTTTGTATATTCTGTGTCTTCTTCAGGTTAAGTTTTCAAGCTTGGTAAATGAAGGCAGTTGCAACATGTGAAGGTCTAAATTAATCAGCAATGACCTATTCACACTCCCCAGGGGAACACCCGGTTGACTGCTTTCATTGTCTCCAGGGAAATGTTAATTTCTAGTCAGACAGTCTTTATTATGCTGGACCTTTATTTAGTATTCTTTCAAGTTCGCACCAAATACTTAAGTATCTGTACCCAGGTATCTTGTACCTAAGGTGGCACCGTAAGTGGTGACATTGCAAACTTTTCACAGTATTCATTCAGGTGCACGTGACAATAAAATTAATTCTAATTCTAATTCATCAGTTTCACAAAATTTGACCAATCAATGTGGGTTGGATGATCCTTGTGACCATTTTAAGCTTGTGTTTGTTCCCTTCTCAAAATTGTTTCTACCCATGAAGACCGAGGTATTAAATGGATGGAGGACAGGAAAAAGTTGTGGCTGTAGGATCTGCTCCTTTTTTGAGGTATTTTCAGTTTTGGAGCTGATTTTCTTGCATTCTAGGAGCAGTAATTACTGTTTCATAAGCTGTTATATTGTTTTGGATCTTTGTGGGAAAAAAGGGATCAAAACAACGGCACTTTAAAAAGGAGGGGGAGAGACAAAGCGGTCACCACATGGGAGGTGAAAAATGGAGAAATAAACCTGCACAGTTGTCTGACACAGCAGTGAACCTGCACAGCTGACTGCAACTTTTTCACACAGAGGGTGGTGCGTGTATGGAATGAGCTGCCAGAGGAAGTGGTGGAGGCTGGTACAATTACAACACTTAAAAGGCATCTGGACGGGTACATGGATAAGAATGGCTTAGAGAGATATGGGCCAAATGCTAGCAAATGGGACTAGATTTCCTAGTTGGCATGGACGAGTTGGACCAAAGGGTCTGTTTCTGTGCTGTATAGCTCTATGACTTTCTATGGCCTTTCCTCATCACTGACTTCATCCTCTTCCATGGCCATTGTCTCGAAATCTTTATAATCTTAGTTTCCTATTGATCTCAAACTGAGTTCTTTAATCCATAAGCCTTCCCCTCGAACTCTGTCTCTCTGAATCTAAACACTTATGCACCTTTTCATCCTTCCATTGCTCCAAAATGGGACAGGTGTCCAGAAATTTATGCCCCACAATCCAGACTTTGCTCTATACCCCATACTTCTCCAGCTCCCTCGTCTTCTTAAATATCATGTCTTTAATGGGTTTTGGTTATCCCTCCGAATATAGTTTTCTTTTGGTTCCAAATTTATTTTTCTTCTTACATTTATGAAGCCCCTTGAGATTTTTCTTATGTTAAAGATGCAATTAAATATAAATTGATGCTGAAATAATATTCAAACTAGATCTGCAGCAGGACTATTTTAGTGAATACTTTGTAATGATCAGCCAAAATTAATTGGCAGGCTTCATTATTCTGAGGAAAGTTGTGATCTTACCTTAATGAGTGGCTTTGTCTGGATGGAGTGTCTGGAACAGAACAGCCATATTTTACCATAATGGATAGTCACTGGTGCTTCATTATTTTGAGCTAATTATCTTAAAATCAGTTATAAGCAAAAAAAATTCTGTCTCTTACACAATATATACACTAAAGGCACCAGAAAAAATAACCAGGGATTAGACATACACAGAAATTACTGGAAAAACTCAGCAGATCTGGCAGCATCTGTGGAGAGGAGGTAGAGCTAATGTTTTGGGTCCAGTGACCCTTCATCACTGGATTTGAAACATTAGCTCTGCTTTCTCTCCACAGATGCTGCCAGATCTGCTGAATTTTTCCACCAATTTCTGTTTAAATTTCTAATTGCCAGTGTCCACAGTTCTTTGGGTTTTTTTTAGTTCAGAGCTTGTATGTTCCTGTGTAAGTAAATTTTCACTGTTGTGGTAGAACTCAGTATATACCAGGCTTACTCACAAGCACTAAAATTTTATTTTCAAAGTGTTGAGTCTCAGTTCTTTGGATATTAATAGTTGGACACTTTTTAAAAGCATTTTCTTTTTATTTTTTCTTGCTGTCTTTAAGGTTATGAGATGATTTGATACAGTAGGTCGAAAGAATATAAGTCTGCTCATAGGGAAGAGTATAGGGTGCTCCAGATTCCTCTCACTGTCAAAAGATGGGTAGATTGGGTGGATTGGCCATGCTAAATTGCCCCAAAGTGTCCAGAGATGTGCAGGCTAGGTGCCATGGGAAATGTGGGATTATGAGGGTAGGGTGGGGGATATATGGGGGCTGGGTCTGTGTGGGATGCTTTTTGGAGGGCCGGTACAAACCAGATGGGCTGAATGGCCTCTATCTACATTCTAGGGATTCTATACAACTGGGAACTCAAATCAGGACTTGGGAGAGTGAACATGAACAGGTTTTAATTAAACATACGATACAGGAAGTGACGGTAAGAGAGAATGTCTCTTTTACTCCGGGTGCTCCGGTTTCCTCCCACAGTCCAAAGATGTGCAGGCTAGGTGGATTGGCCATGCTAAATTGTTCCATAGTGTTCAGGGATGTTTGGATTAGGTGGGTTGGACATGGGAAATGCAGGGATAGGGGAATGGGTCTGGGTGGGATGCTCTTTGGAGGGGCGGTGTGGACTTGTTGGGCCGAATGGCTGTTTCCGCACCATAGGGATTCTATGATTCTATGATGATTCTACGATTCTGTGAACCCTACAGACCAGGACTCTAGCCCCATGTGATCAGACATCACACAGCGTCTTATGTACACTCTTAGCAGCTATCCTTTGAGTAAAGGTTTAATTAACCCTTTACTTCGTGCATGATAATTTGGTTTGAGTAGCTGCGTCATTAGATGTGTGCCAGTGAGTTGCAGGTACCAGATGTGATCCCAAAGACAATCTGCCAAGTGTGGCAAGGATTGAATTCATTCAGAGACTAAAGCGAGTCTGACTGGGGAAGAAGCTATCTTTTCGGTGCAAAAGTGACAGGCAGCAGGCCTGCGGCTTAAATCTGGCATTGGGAGGGCCACATTTTAAATAAATCTTTTCTTTGGCAGCCACCAGCAGTTCTTACAAGGCTAGCCGGTCAGATTGTACGTGGCCCCGATCACACATTTGCTCAGGATAAGCCAAGTGCTGGCTTGGGTGCTGACCAACCTGTTTTCAACACTGGGAAGGTTAATTCTCTACAGTAGTGGTTTCTAGCTGGAAAATAGTCACAACAAGGTCCAATTCTTATTGTATCAGAGGTAGTAGGAACTGCAGATGCCAGAAAATCCGAGACAACAAGGTTTAGAGCTGGATGAACACAGCAGGCCAAGCAGCATCAGAGGAGCAGGAAGGCAGACGTTTTGGGACTAGTCCCTTCTTCAGAAATGGGGGAGGGGAAGGGGGTTCTGAAATAAATAGGGAGAGAGGGGGAGGCGGATGGAAGATGGATAAAGGAGAAGATAGGTGGAGAGGAGACAGACAGGTCAAAGAGGCGGGGATGGAGCCAGTAAAGGTGAGTGTAGGTGGGGAGGTAGGGAGGACATAGGTCAGTCCAGGGAGGACGGACAGGTCAAGGGGGCGGGATGAGGTTAGTAGGTAGGAAATGGGGGTGCGGCTTGAGGTGGGAGGAGGGGATAAGTGGGAGGAAGAACAGATAAGGGAAGCGGGGACAAGCTGGGCTGGTTTTGGGATGCGGTCGGGGGAGGGGAGATTTTGAAGCTTGTGAAATCCACATTGATACCATTGGGCTGTGGATTTCACAAGCTTCAAAATCTCCCCATTAGGGATTCTCAAGCAACCATTGGCTAAGCAACTGCGGAGGAGGAGGTGTCAGAGCGGTTATGTTACTGAACCAAAAATATAGAAGCCACCCACCATTTTCTCAAGGGATGCTATTTATTCATTACCATCACTGTTAACTTTCTACTTGATATCCGAACAACATTTTAATGCTATTTTACCTCCAATCACACTGTTTTATTCTCACATTGGTGACTAAAGGAAAATAAAGCTAATTGAATCCAGCAATGGCTCTAAGTACAAGTAAATAAAGTTGATAAATATTATTCATCGATTTCATATCAATCTGTATCATGCCTGACTATGATTCTCTAATATACATTGAAACAGACAAAATGTTACCCTCTGTGTAACATGCTGTCAAGGAAGTATGAGATAACAAGGTGTAGAGCTGGATGAACACAGCAGGCCAAGCAGCA